AGTATATATGAGTATATAGTGACACAATAGATGACAGCCTAGGAAACCCTGTGGGGCAGTTCTACTCTGTTACACCAGGGGCCGCTGTGAGTGGATGATCTATAAGAGTATATATGAGTATATAGTGACACAATAGATGACAGCCTAGGAAACCCTGTGGGCAGTTCTCCTCTGTTACACCAGGGGGCGCTGTGAGCAGATGCTCTATAAGCGTATATACAAGTATATAGTGACACAGTAGATGACAGTCTAGGAAACCCTGCGGGGCAGTTCTACTTTGTCACATGGGGGTGCTATGAGTCAAACAATTCGCCAGCACCTAGCAAGAAGGACAATGTCATTCTCCCATATTAAGTTATGAAACATCGTTTGACTGTTTGAAGTTACCTAAATTTAGCTGAAGGCACCAAATTATTGTTGTGACACACTGGGTTGCCACCATTGTGATGTAAGATATCTAGAGGGCTTCAAAAATGTATAGAAAATGAAATTCAACCATAAAGGACTGTTTCCATGATCTCTGTGAAGCCCCATGTTATGACGTTATGGCAAACATCATCAGGAAATTTGTATAGAGTCACACATGTAGTTCTTCTAGTCTCTGGTCTGCTTCCCCTGCCACCAGTGGCCTCTGAGCTGCAGACTTGGGCCATGAATGACTGTCTCCAGGTCCTGTATTTGCCTTTTGGTGAGGACTGTATCTGTGCCTATTCCCAGCAGAGCCCTGTAGCACCGGCCGGGCCCAGTGCTCCTGCGTTAACGCTTATTCCAACGTGCATGGTACTCTGTCTCCACGAAGCATGTCCATTACTCTGAGCAATCCAGTGCTTCTCCTACAGCTACACAGGGCCCGGCAAAGTGGTGTGAAAAGATAATGCGATTTCCCCACAAACTTGGGGCATCTCATGTGTATTACCAGATGCTGGTTGCATGGAGATACAACACAATTTTATTGGCATTTGCAGAATTTACTTGTAACTCAAGTCATCACTACTTCTAATGAGCTCTTGTCTTCTGTGTGTAGTATGTAGCGGAGCTGAGTCTCTTAGAGGCTGACCCCTTCTTGAGATACCTCCCTTCAGTGATTGCCGCGGCAGCTTACTGTCTAGCCAACTATACCATCAACAGGCACTTCTGGGTAAGAGTTGGGATGTCCCTGCTGATCAAGCACTCGGCTGCCACTGGAGGGCGGGGAGGGGGGCGGAGAGAAGAGGGGGCAGTCTGCTCCTGTAAAGTAGCTAGCCTAGGAAGCCCTGTGGGGCAATTCTCCTCCGTCTCATGGGGTCACGTTGGACTGTAGTGTAAGAATGACCAAAAGGAGACAGAGACACAAAGCCACCACATGTCATTGGAATAACGGTGTTGATGGGTCTGCTGGGCACAGGGTTGCCACAAACCTACTACCTGCAAAGTGCAACCAAGAGACGCATAGTACAACAGTATAGACACAAAACAAGCTCATTTAGCCTGAAGTTCTACCCACGGGCTGATCCCTAAACATCTGTGAGGATGGATGCACGTTTCTCGCCCTGTTCACCATGAACACCTGGCGCGTCCCCTTTCTTCAGTTTCATCATGGGATGTGTGGTAGCTCATAAATGACGTCTCTCTTCTCTTGTCTTGTTAGCCCGAAACCCTGGCTGCTTTCACAGGCTATTCGTTGAGCGAAATTGGCCCTTGTCTGAACGAACTGCACAAAGCCTGCCTTGAAATGCCCCGTCGGCCTCAGCAAGCCCTCAGGGAGAAGTACAAGGCATCCAAGTGAGTGACGATAAGGGTCCCCTCCTGTCTGGGAATGTCCCAATAGGAAATCCCCTGGGAGACGTGAGGTTCTAGAGGTGTCAGATTGTAGTACTTACAGTCAAGGGGCCTTGCTGTGGCTGTAGGATCAGTCCTGGACTGCTAACTGAAAGGTCAGCAGTTCAAACCCACCAGCTGCTTCTTGGAAACCCGATACAGGGCATCTGAGTCAGAACTAACTCGAAGGCACTTAACAACAACAACAACAGTACTAATAGTCCAGGAGCCTTGGTGGCACAGTGATTAAGCATGCCGCTGTTTGCAGCCACCCAGCGGCTCTGCTCCCATGGAGACTGCAGCCTAGGAGCGGCTGGTGCAGTTCTGTCGTGTGGGCCGCTGTGAATCAGACAGAGTCCGTAGCTCCGCAGATCCCAACAGCACAAGTTAACTCTGGCAGCAGCCTTCCTTTCTGCTAAAACAAGGGACTTTTTAGTGGCCCAAGTGAGAGTTTCCAACACCAGGGCCATGGGTCCTGCTGAACCTGCCCTGGTCTCATTTCAGGTACATGCACGTGTCTCTGATGGACACCCCCGCAGTGCTCCCTCCAGTGAACTTCTGACCGAAGCCAGATGGAAGTCCGAGTCAGTGGCAGCGAGCCAGCCAGCAGGCATTCCAGAGTAGAGATGTCAGATTTCTTTTTACTGTAAATTGATGTAAGGTTTCTTGTTAGCTTGTCATAGTCTCTGATTTTTTAAAAACAATAAACAACTTGCTTTATGACCATGTGTGAAGCATAGTTACTGGGGAGCCTGGCTAGTGGAGATCACGCCAAGGAGTCTTCCAATTGGTTGTGTAGACCCAGCATTCAGGAACATCCACGGATCTTCACGTTTGATAACTGGACATGCAGAGACAGCTTCCTTCCTGCATCCTTACGTGCCCATACCTGAAACCAAGCCAGTTGTCGCCATGCCGATTCCAGCTCCTGGGAGCCTGTGTGTCAGAGTGGAACTGTGCTCCTTGGTTTTTCAGAAGCAAACCGTCAGATCCTGCCTCCGTGGTGCTGTTGGGTGGACTCGAACTCCAACCTGAGCGGTTTACCAACCAAGCTGATAACCAATGGTACCATTTACATGTTGGTGTGCAGTGTCATCAGATTGCTTCCAACCCACAGTGACTCTGCAGAGGGTCTCCAAGGCCACATCTTTGTGGGAGCAGAAAGCCTCAGCTTTCTCCCATGGAGCATCTGGTGGGTTTGAACCACTGACCTTGTGAATTGAAGCCCAGTGCGTATCCTACAGAGTCACCATGCTTCCTAACCATGTGCATTGTTGTTGTTGTTGTTGTTGTTGGTTCTGACTCATAGCCACCCTGCAAAGTGTTTCGAGGAGCAGCTGGTGTGTTTGAACTGCCGGCTTAGCCATCTTGGCTTCTAAGGAGCACTCTGGCTGCACTTCTTCCAAAACAGATCTATTGGTTCTTTTGGCAGCCCATGACACTTTCACTATTCTCCTCCACACCATAACTCAAAGGCATCAATTCTTCTACGATCTTCCTTATTCACTCTCCAGCTTTCACATGCATATGAGGTTATTGAAAATACCATGGCTTGTGTCAGGCGCACCTTAGTCCTCAAGCTGACATCTCTGCTCTTCAGTACTTACAAAAGTTCCTGTGCAGCAGATTTGCCCAATGCAATACGTCGTCTGATCTCTTGACTGCTGCTTCCACGAGTGTTGATAGTTGATCCAAGAAGAATGAAGTCCTTGACAACTTCAATCTTTTCTCCGTTGATAAGAGTGTTGTTTATTGGTCCAGTGGTGAGGATTTTTGTTTTTCTGACATTGAGATGCAACCCATACCGAAGGCTGTGTTCTTTGATCTTCATCAGTAAATGTTTCAAGTCCTCTTCACTTTCAGCAAGCAAGCTTGTATCATCTGCATATCGCAGGTTGTTAATGAGTCTTCCTCCAATCCTGATGCCACATTTTTCTTCATAGAACCCAGGTAGGTTTTGATGAAACAAGAGCAGAGATTTTCTGATTTAATGATATTGTTGTTGTTGGGTGCCATCACGTTGGTTCTGACTCTGACTCACCGTGACCTTACGCACAACAGAACCAAACCCACCTGGTCTTGTGTCATCCTTGTGGTTGTCATGCTTTGAGCCCACTGCTGCTGCCACTGTGCTAGTCCATCTCATTGGGGTCTTCCTCCTTTTCACTGACCCTCCACTTTACCAAGCATGACGTCCTTTTTCAGGGACTGGTCCCTCCTATAACCTATCTGAAGTCTGAGAGACAAAGTCTGGCCATCCTGGCCTCCAACGAGCACTCTGGCTGTACTTCTTCCAACACAGATTTGTTTGTTCTTTTGGCACTTCATGATACTTACATTTTTTTCCCTCTAACTCTGTAATTCAAATGCATCAATTATTCTATGATCTTCCTTATCTACTGTCCAAATTTCACATGTTGTTGTTAAGTGCTGTTGAGTCAGGTATAACTCATAACTACCCTGTCCTGTATAGGGTTTCCAAGGAGCAACCGGTGAGTTTGAACCGCTGACCTTGCAGTTCAATCAGACCTTGTAGTCTAGAGCTTATCCTAGATAGCACCACACAAGGACTTCAGCTTTCACATGAAGCTACTGAAAATCCCATGGCTTGGGTCAGGCGCACCTTAGTTGTCAAACTGACATCTTTGTTCTTCAACACCTGTACAGCAGATTTGCCTAATGCAATTATATACAATATGATAATGCATATCTAATTTTGTATGTAATTATTATTTATCATCATATACATATGATAAAATGTTGTTTTTCTGGGGGGAAGGGGAAGGACTGGAAACTGACTCAAGATTTTACTTTTTTTTCAAGCTCGAAGGAAATTGTTAAGTCAGTTACGGGAGCCGAAAGCCTCATCTTTTCTCCTGCAGAGCATCTGGTAGGCTCGAACCACCGACCTTGTGGTTCTCAGTCTAGTGATGATCCTACAGAACCACCTCGATCCCTAAGATTATGATAAAAATCCAGCTCTGTTTTATGCTTTGTGAGGACTCCTGTACATTTCATGGTTCCCATGAGCTCTTATTTCGGGCATCATGCTAGGTAGAGTCCAGGTCACTGGAAAAGAGGAAGCCCCTCAGTAAGCTGGATCGACACAGTGGCAGGGTTTTGTTCTACAGAGCATGGGGTCACTATGAGTTTGAACTGACGTAAGCATAACTATTAACAACAGCAATTTTTAAAGAGGTTTCAGCATTGCCTTATGTGTGTGTGTGTGTGGGGGGAGGGTGTACAGAGTAGGAACCTAACAGCCAGCCTAACCGCACCCCAGCACCCAACACTTGAATCAACAATTCCAGGAAACTGAGCCCAGCACACCTTCCGAGGAATAGAGCAGTGCTGGACCACCAAAAAAGGTGCAAATGGATTAGAGAAAACTTGTAAGCCCGTCTTCAGCCTATAACTGATTGGAATACCTCAAAGGGGTTCTACAACTTGCCCA